GCGGGTCCCCGGAACTGAACGAGGGTTGCGGGTCCCCGGAACTGAACGAGGGTTCCGGGTCCCCGGGACTGAACGAGGGTTCCGGGCTCCCGGTACTGAACGAGTCCTCCGGGACGTTGACCGCGTACGGACCACATGCGGTGTCCTCCGTCGGAAACTGAGACTCAGCCTCCAACTCGCAGCCTCCCTTTCTTTCCGCTGGATCTTGCTCAGATGTGTCTTGGTCCTGACCAACTTGAACAGCGTCTGGCGGAACCCCGTCTGGCGGACTTGGAATCCCCCCGTGCACGCTCCTTCCAGGCTGCTCTTCGCTATTCACCTTGTTGTTCATCTCGTGGCCATTTGCCTCTTGGCCATATGCCTCTTGGCCATTTGCTTCTTGGACATTTGCCTCTTGGCCATTTGCCTCTCGGGCGACACGGTCATTGGTCGGTTTTATGGACGAAGCCAAAGGTGGAGTTTCTGTGTCCGTAGGCAAAGATGCAGCGACTGTTTTCTCCTTGATGTTAGCTGGCCGCCCTTTGTTGTGTTGTTTCCTCTTCTTTCCCTTTTGGCTCATTTTGGTGGGCCAATAAGTTTCAGCGGAATGGACACGTTTGAGACCCAGTGGAAAGTGATACAGAACAAAGGAATAGATGTACTCATCAACTTCCTAATGAAAGGGGAAACCGCATACCCGTCGGTCATCGACAGAGATGGGAGACCTAAGACTATATTGTTCTCAAATGAAGAGTACTCTGAACTTTACACGTAAGGCAATCACCCGCTCTATGAAGCCCTCCGTGTCCTGGACGGACTATTGCTATGTAGACTTGTGTATAAGATGAGCACACTGCAAATGCAAGGTTATGAAATATATCGGAAGTATGAGGAGACCGTTGACGCTTTCTTTCGCGACTGTGTAAGACCTACCATGTCCTTAACCTCCTCTGCGTCTTAGTGTGTGTGCCTTACGGTTGCGCCAGACCAGAAAATGTTTTGTTCTTGCAGATGGCTCCGGCATTGAAGGAAGCTGCCGCTTCAAAGGACCCCGCTTATTACCTTAAGGTCTTGGCTGATTGTTTGGAAAAACAAGGTGTATTCGTATCCTGGTTGCATCATATATTCTGCTGCTTGGATCGGTTCCATGTGAGTCTAAACGGCCTGGACAATTTGCTTAAGTGCAGTTCGAAAATCTGGGTGAATGAGTATATGCTACCCGAGGTAGAAATAATATTGCAGTCTATTTCTACGGAATTGGAACGTGATCGATTTGCTTCCCTGGAGGAAGCTGCGGGGGGACCAGGTTCATCAACCAACGAATCTCCGACCAACGAATCTCCGACCAACGAATCTTCCGCCGTTGTTGATCTAGTAGAGTTGTCGCCGTCGAATAATGGTAGTGGCTGGACATACAAGCCGGTGATAGATACTTCTGTAATGAGGACCGTGATTGGGGCAATCGTTTCCTGGAGCGCATTCACGAATGAGCCCTTGAATCGTTACCGCAATACTATTGCGGCTTCCAGCGAAAGGTTTTACAGGGAGCTGGCTATCGCTAAGGTGGACGTCCTGACCTTCAAGGATTATCTGCAGTTGCTAAGAAAGATAATAGCTGAAGAGTCCTTGAGAACTGAGTGGCTACTAGGCGACGTGGGTCTGGAGATACAGAGCAGCATTACAGATGTCTGTATTATAGCGCAATTGCAAAAATTGTTGAGCAAGCCTGATGGTATATATAGTATGCTCGAGAAGGACGACTTGGATAACTTGGCACTATGCTATCAACTCATTAGCAGGTGCACTACAAAAGAGTTGGGTCTGATGGCAAACGTGTTCGAAACATTTTTGAAGGATAAAGGAATGTTGATTTTAGAAAACAAGCTTGCGAATATCAAGAATCCCGCCATGAAAGCTAAAGGTATTGAAAAAGCCACACCTGATGCTGTACCTCCATCATTTATGAATCCTGATGTCAGTGATTTTCATTTTATCAAGTCGCTAATAGATTACCATGTTAAGTACGCAGAAAATCTAGCCAGCTGCTTCAATAATGACTTCCAGTTCAAAGTGAAATTCAAAGAAGCATTTAACCATATTATGAACAAAAATGTTGGTGGCGTGCATATGGCCTGCTATATATGTACAGCGTGCGATAAACTTGTTAGAAGACCACCTACTGGATCTACGGGGCTCCCGGTTACTCAGCAAGGTGTCGTGGATGTTTGTAATCACATTGTTGCTCTATTTTCATACATTTCTGATAAAGATTTGTTTGCCGAAATATATAGAACTCAATTATCGAAAAGGCTTTTGGGAGCTGAAGAACCTCCTAATGAAACTGAAAGGTTGCTTATTAGTACTTTCAAACATGTGTGCGGTCATTCATATTCCAGTAAAATCGAAGGTATGCTTCTTGATGTCTCCAGTGGCATGGGATTCCGAGCGGAGTTCACGGAGTTTTTGAAGACACAAGTTAAGCAGGATCTTGGAATTCATAATACGCCCGACAAACTGAAAAAGTTGATCTATGAAAAGATCGTCATAAGCTCGATACCAGGCAGCAAACCGGTTGATACGAAAATGGATGATACGAAAATGGATGATACGAAAATGGATGATACGAAAATGGATGATACGAAAATGGATGATACGAAAATGGATGATACGAAAATGGATGATATCAAGTTGGATGATATGAATCATATATCAGGGGACGATGTAGATATATCGGTCTTGAGTGATCCTGACAGGTTGTGTTTCACTGTCCAGGTATTAACATCCGGACATTGGCCGCAGACAACAGCTCTGAATGTAAGGATACCAGTTGTCATACAGGTAGCTCAGGGTTACTTTAAGAGTTGGTATAATACTCAGACAGTGCATCGAAAGCTGGTTTGGAATAACTCCATCAGCCAGGCGATTTTGCAGGCGACCTTTGACCGGCATTATTTGATAGTGTGTTCCGCTGCTCAGGCTGGTTTACTTTTGTGTTTTAATGACGGTAAAACGAAGTCTGCTGAGCAATTATCGGATATCTTAGGAATGGATTCGTTGAACACGCGAAAATATTTAAAGTCCCTTTATACAAGGTTCGCCCTGATAGAAAAGGTAGAGGAAGATATATACAGAGTGGCCAAATTTACGTCCCAAATTAGACGATTCAAACTACCTCTACCTATAGATACTGATACCTCTCACAAACCCTCGGTGCAAGAGGATAGAAGCCACAGCATTCAAGCGTGTTTAACACGAATCATGAAAGCGCGGAAAGAATTTCCTCACCAGCAACTCGTCGCCGAATGTGTTAGCCAACTATCAATGTTCCATCCTTCCGTCAAACAAATCAAGGAAAATATTGAAGTACTGATTGAAAAAGATATAATCGCTCGTGACGACAAAGACCCTCAAATATACCTGTACTCGGCATAAAAGCAGTCAAGGACGGTGCCCCCCTAAGGACGGGGTCCTTCTCCAAGGAAGGACGGGGTCCTTCTCCAAGGAAGGACGGGGTCCTTCTCCAAGGAAGGACGGGGTCCTTCTCCAAGGACGGTGCCCTAAAATGTCCTGGAGGTAAGGAGGTTGATGTCACGGTGGCATCATGCCACGACCTGGCTGTTCATTGTCGGCTGGTCATAATAGGTTGATCGGCCCTAATGACACGGAGTCCTAAAATGGAACACATCTCAGCCCTGTCGTTTACACATTGTTGGAAGTGTCGAAAGCTCCGGTTGAGAGAGAGCAATCCCTGGCGGGAAAAAAAACGCTTGTCGGTCCGACAGAGAGAGACAGTCTCGATCTCGGAGTGAATTTTGTCAGGGGGTGAGTCGGGCGGGGTCGAATTTGGTGTGCAAAAAATGCGGGCGAGTCCTGTCTCTGGTCGAAGGTCGGGAAGACGGACGTGGGCCTTGGCACTGGCGAACGGTTGGGGGGGCTGTCCGGATGGGGCGGCTGCCGCACATGAGCACAGGTTACAGAGGATCGCTGCCTATTTTCATAGTCAGCCGTGGTTCGTAAGTTCGTTGGACCGAAGTCTCTGTGTCCGTGAGGCCGTCAACCGCTTTCCGCTGGCGGAGCTAGGGCTAGCCGTGTTCAAGTTGAAAAGTGCGCAGGCGGAGTTGCTACCGCTGGTCCAAAGTGTCGTGAGTCAATTGTCAGATGTCATTGTCCGACGGGTGCACGACCTGTTAGTGCCAGCTGCAACCCTCACGAATTTTCACGGGATTTTCTCTAAGCACTTAAAGACCGCCTGTGGAGATGAATCCGGAGCAATCATCCTCGCCCAAGAACATGGTCTCCTACCTCACGACGATCCGCCAGCGGACCAAGACGAGAATTACCGAAGGAACGACGACCACCGAAGGAACGAAGACTGCTTGAGTGACCGATGGGAAGAGTATCTGTCCGGTATCCCCCTGCCTCGATTTCGCCAGCAGCAGGAGAGGGACTCCTCGCAGTTGCCTCGAACGCTGAAGAAACTAGTGGACGAAGTGGAGCAACAGAAGCGGGAGACGGATCAAGTGGTGTGGGAAATGAGTGGCAGGGTTGGCCCTTTGATCGAGTACGTTGAGCTACCCACAGCTGATGTTCATTTTGCTGGTCGCGGAAGTTCTCCGTTTGCTCTGCGAGCTAGTGTGGGTCAGAGACAGTTGTGGGAAAACCAGCTGTATTCCGTCAATTTCTTCGGGGGGTCAGTTCCGGTGGAGGCGTCGACAGTGAAGCGCGCTATCGAACAGACGCGAAAGATGGAAGCAAAAATGTTTTCAGAGCTCCGTCGGGTGCGGGAAGAGGTTGTGAGTCATGCGGTGTTGTTGAGAGCGGTCGGAATGGCTTTACAGCCGCGGCATTTCGCATCGGCCACGGCTGACGTGCGGTACTGCAGGGCAGCTGTGATTACTTTCCTAAACTCACTAGTCGACGTGCAAGTCGGCGACGCGACGACTAGTCGATTCTTTGGCAGCTTGCCTCAAGTCAACTACGAGTATCTCCGGTGGTTGAGAGGTGCGCAGCAAAAGTTTGGGTCGATACCAAAAGCATTAGCCGCCGCACATCAATGGGTTAGCAACCCATACCACGTATGCGTTGTGAAGTATCTCGATAAAAGTGAACAGTTCATGGCACTCACAACGGAAGAGATTAAACAAATAGATGAAGCCATCGTGATTAGAGGCGACCTTCCAGACACTGTGGAGTTTCCGATAATCTCCGAAAATGACTTGTTCGACAAAGTTCTAGAACCAGGCAAATCTTCGCTTAGCCAGAACAAGAAACCAGCTGTGAAGGCAGCAGCACGGACAAAAACCTCCGCAGGTGGGCCAAAGGGAATTCTCAAGAGGGAAAAGCCAATACCACCCATCACGACCACAAGAACAGAAATTCGTGTAAACAAAGAAGCGAAGCGGACAGCTGCTAGAAATGTGACGACGAGAAGAAACAACTCCACCTCAACTTTGTGCGAACGGCTGAAGCGAATCTTTAATTGAGAGTTTGTGGGAATCAAACATTTGAGAGCAGGCAGGATCCACCCCAAGCAAAAACATTGTATAGAAAACTGACGTTGTGTAGAACATGTCTAAACGTACGGCGCCAGGCCCAGTCTCGAGTTGTCGTAGTCGAAGATGGAGTAATACCTACGCATAAAGACATCTCCGAGAATGATGATCGGTTCCGACGAGTTCGGTAGGTCAAAGGGGGTTATGCCAAGTACACATGGTACACTTGACTTCGTAGAAGTCTGTATGAGGTAGTCATCTGGCGTAAGGCTGAAGCTGGTGTTGTTAATGATGAAGTCCAAGTTTGGAAGATCGACTTTTTTGTCGCATGAAACGAACCGGATAGAGGATACCCATGGTAATTTATAGGCCCCAATGAGGCGAGATATCTTCTCCACGACGCTTATTGGTGCAGCAATCAAACTTGTACCTGAGTCCACAATCGCTCTTGTAGAGTTCTCGACAAACTGTATCAACTCCTGATGACCACCCTCCAAGTCAGCCACGGACGATGAGTCCGATCTTGAATCGGATCTTGAATCGGATCTTGAAGAATCATGGGTTGCCGAAACCGTATCCGTGATGTTCACAGCCATTTGCATCCGCTCTAGCCTTATTGTCCAGTAGTCCTTCGATGCTAGCGGTATCCACGTGATTGCACCGTTGTCCTTGTATCCTCCTATCGACAGTGTTCCGGACTCACCGTCTCTGGTGCCCAAGTGGAAAGCGAATACTGCGTCCTTAATCAATCCTTGCTTCTTCATCGCCGGGATTGGGACGTCCAGGTGACCCACTGATATACTGGACCAACCGAGACCGAAAACGCCGTCAAATTGGGATACATAATAGTTCAGTCCCATACCGCGAGCATCATCAACCCTGCATCAATAACCATGTGCCACACGTGTGTTCAATTGTGCGCGCGTGTGTGCAGATTGCAATACCCGTTCATAATGTGTGAGCGAATGCGGCAGGTGTGCAACGTACACGCCAAAAGTGAAGTTAGTTATGGGCATCGGCCCGATGTAAACACTATCATTCGCCAGTTCTCCTTTCACGGATCCTGAGCCGTATTTGATTTCAAATTTTTTGTCCGTGGGTAAGTAAGTATTGGACTTGTCTGGGTCGAATGTATCGTGTCCTAAACACGTCCAAAGGCAGTCGCTGTCCGGAACCCACAAGTTGCTGGACCCTGTGTCGAATATGACTTTGAGATTTTGCGGCACAGGTGAGCCGATGCCGACCACCCCATAGTACTGTGTGTTCTCGAAGTCGTAGATCGGCTTGTTGAAACTACCTCCTTCGTCCTCGTAGCCGTCCTCGCTCTCGTACTCGTCCACATCGCCGTTTTCAACCCAATCACCCATGAAAGGTCGGTCAAGGAGGAACCCGCCTGCATTGTACAACCGGCACTGCATGCTAAGGCAACCCATGGAGTGGTGGAACCATTCATCCTGCTGCTGATAGGTTCCCACTTGGTTCAACAACGCTTTGTCACTTCGATGCTTCCTAATCGGTATCTCAATCGTCGTCTTTGTTGCACTTCTAACCTTTCCCACCTGTTTTGCTATCAGTTCATCCGCTCTTGAAGTTACCCACGTTCTGGACAAATGTCGGCCTCCCCATAGCGCAACCACCGTCGCCGCACTACCTAGGTATATACATCTTCTACGATATCTTTTCGAGGGGGCCGAACTACAACTACCTAACAAGTTGTCCGTAATCATTGATTGACCAAACAGGCAGCGGCAAATGGTCCGTAATATCACACGCCCTTGGTAAAGAAGGAAGCCACCGCTATACACCACTCACAGTAGAAGTGCACCGAGTTTGAAAAATACAGGCGGGCGACGCCCTGTCCTGGCGAGTTGGCTGTGGTTGAGGCCCGGAGGCGAAGACCTACAATTGCCAGGAGTTAGCAATCAGGGGCGGCGGTGAGCTGGGGCGACATGGCCGGTGGGTGTGAAACTGTGACCGGGGGTGGAGCGCGTTTCCCGCCGAGCAAGAGACGTCGGTGATAGGGGCGTGTGCTCCACGCGAATCACTATGTTGGAGTAGAGTGCGGACCCAGGCTGTGCGGGTCAAGAGGGAGAGCGGCACGGGTGAAAACAAGCCGAAAGGCAAAAGGACAGAAGCGAAAGGATCGACGGCCTCAAGTCATCGCTGTGTAGAGACCGAAGAGGATGACAGCTATTGGATATCCGCTGTGCAGAGACGTGAATGGAAGAGAAACCGTGGCGGACGATGTCGGGAGGAGTGGCAGGATGGAGC